CTAGAAATATATCGTTATATCTGGAATATACTAGAAAGTGCCTTCACCATAGTTGTCACATATGTTTGGTCTTAAGGGGTTTAATTATGTACGATAATCGGACAAGTTAAGCCTCAAAGGACAAATAAGACAGAGAGGGACTTGGAGGATTAGAGCATGACTGAATAATGAAATGGCTCACTTTACAATATATATCTAGATGCTAGATAATGCAACTGAACCGTTAATTCTTCAAATTCTAAAAGATCTAAATGAATTTAGTAACTTGGAAATATCGTTCCAACAAGTTGGTGCTCCTGCATACTATTACTTCGCAGTAAGACGTTATCTAGATGGATTGAACGATGCAGTCCAATAGAATGGCCAGCTCGGTCCTCGGACCTAACACCTTTAGAGTTTTTGTGGGGATACCTTAAATCTAAGATTTATGCTACAGCTCCTGACAGTATTGATGTTTTAAAACAACGATTGTTGAAGAATGTTGGGTAATTTTTCCTGGCACATTTAAACGAGGCCGACAAGAATTTATTTATAGGATATTTTACTGCACATTTTGACCAATTGTTATAAGACCTGGTTTTTGAATCTATATAAATAGCGATAATCAAAATTTATTGTTTATTTTATCCATTAAAATCTCCGTAAATCCAAACAAAAACTGAATACGTATTTTAAATACCTTTCAAACGAGGTATCACTTGCCATAAGGTCTTATTCAATATTATTGGTTTGTTTCCTTGTGACGTCATCGATTACTATTGCGTCACCTGTTACTATTAGTAGAAAAGTTTATATTAGTTTATTTTTACGCTTCAAATTTCATCATCGTTCAAAAGAAAAGAAGCACTATATATCCAAAACACATAGTGTAAAAATGATAATTTAAAAAATATCGTCTTTAACTTCTCATGACTAAATAAGGTTGAAATATCAGGAACAAATAAATAGGAACTATTGTCAATTTTTATCCCCTTAAATTTATTTATGAACACATTTTCGCTAGGATAAAGAATTATAGAGTAATGATCAATTTTATTATGCCCTAAAGTTATCTCCATTCGCAGATCCTAAGGCTTTTGGTATATTTATCTTCAAATACTGTAAACCAAAAGTAAAAAAACAGTGCGCAAGAAAACAGAGTTTCAGATTAATTTTGATCATAAGATGTTTAAATTCCTCAATTGAATAACAAACGTTAATGGACCCTGTACAATCAGAAGTATCACTGATAATGGGAAGTACCCCATTTAGTAAACAATATACATAGTCATTGAATTATATTCAATATTTCTAATATGCTTAACGCAAAAGCTCGTCAGTATTATAATAGTAGAAAAAACGGGTAGAATATATTTCTGAATGAATTAAAGACTATAGAAATAAATTACTACAGATGAGCATGCTTATAGAAAGCAAACTATCAATAATCACCGTATTTCTAGGCTACAATGAAACCTACCTGCTAACAGAACAGAAACTCCCTGATTAAAGACTTCCTAATTTATACATCCACTTCAGTTGCCAAAAGAATTTCCAATTAAAAAAAACAACGATCGCCGTTTCCCTCTCGATCTTAACAAAGGACCCCATTCACAACCGCCGTACTCCTTGTTTTTCCCGGTGTTTTCTCCTCCTCCTCCCCCGGCCGCGTCTCTGAATCCCCCCCAGAGAATTAATTGCTCCCGATATCTCTCCCGCGATCCCGATCTGCCGACGAAAGGTGCGCGTGTTCGGCCAGGTGAGATATTACCTACAAATCATCGTGATCGTCGATGTAGAGACTAGAAAGAGGCCCCGCTTCTCCTCCTTTTAGTTTTCTCTTCCTTCCCGTAAGCGGGACGCCAGGCAGCGTTCTGGAACGCAACAGCGTTTGTTTTAGTAGAAGTAGAGAACGCGATGTTGTCAAGTTTATACTTTGATGGAGTTCGGTGGAGATGGAAAGCTAACATGTTTCATATTGTCTATAAAGAGAATTGTTATGTTTGAGTCCAGGAAGCTCCGATAAAAAGCTGTAGGTGTTCTTAATTTATCTATTCTTCCTACTCTTCTGATTTTGTACATACAGAATCTTTAAATATCCCTAATATTTCTATTACGGTTTTGGTTCGTTTTCTCTGTTTTATCCATTTTTTGTACTGTTTGGGAAAAGAAAGAATAAAGAGCTTATGGTGTTTCCAAAATCATTCGGATTACATCGTTCCATTTTAAAATTATCTTATCTTTAATGCCCTAAAAAAGTATGTCTATAAATGGCTTCCAATCAGCTGAGTATATCGTCAAATCAGGAGTTTCATAGGGTTTATCAACATTAACTAGATGTATTAATACACAGTTAACTGAAAAATATCAACAGTTGGTTTCACTTAAAATGCATGCATAAAATACCAAATAGGTTTTGTTTATATAGACCCAGAGATAACAGGCTATACCTAAGCTTTTCAATAGGCACTTGGACATGACCTGCTAATTTGTGCTGTTTAATGACAGGTATAAGTAGAGTGTAAAATAAGTGGCACAACTACACTGAGAATGAGCTAGGTGAGAAAAATAGAGTTACTCTCACTTGGGTCCCGGAACATAACGGGGTACAGAGTAACGAGATTGCAGATAGTCTTGCAAGAAAAGGGACTCGAAACACCCTTTGTAGGACCTGAGCCGTTCTGCGGTATCACCAGTAACATATTATTAGGAGAGATTAAAAAAGAATTGGGCAGTAGAAGAACCGATAATTGGAACAATCTCTCGGGGCTGAGACAGGCCAAGATCCTTCTAGGTGAATATAACCAGAAAAGATCGGAAGCCTGCATCTGCCTGAGCAAGAACAGGCTATGTATTGTAACAGGAATCCTTACCGGGCATTGTTGACTAAAAGGACACCTAAGTAAACTGAAAGTAGTAGAGGATAGTGAGTGAAGATTCTGTGAGGAGGAGGAGGACAAAACCTCCATTTACATCCCAACTGAATGTGTAGCACTCCAGAATCCAAGGGCACTATATCTAGGAGGATATCAAATAGAAGAGGGAGATTTACCTAACTTGAAGCCACTTTAAATCCTACACTTCATTGAGGAAATAGAATTGGAAGGGTCGTTATAGGCATTGAGACATTTCCTTAGTGCATTGGCGACAGAAGGGGGCACACTAGATCTTTTAGGTCGCAGTGTATTAACACCCCATTCTCAACATAACATAGGTACGTTAAATTTCCTTGGATAGTCACACATTCAAGTACTAATTGCGGGCAACTCTGCTTTAGTGTAGATATCGATACACAATAGTGTACCTGCTAAGCCGGACCGCTGCCTCACATGTTTGATTGTATATTAAATGTTATGACTTTCCATAATGTTAGTAATTTTGCTGTTTTCCATATTTAGACACAAATAGTTGGCGTCGCACCATGGCTTGATTTTCCTCCCAAGATATGATATTATAAAGAACGCAGGGGCCATTGTGGTGCAAGTGAAAGTACTTGCAATCTTAAGTTGAGTTAAATTATTTATATAAAAAAGAAATACAATGGAACTCAATACAGAACCCTGAGGGACTTCCTAACTTTTATCTAAAACTTGAGAGTCCTTAGTAGTTCTTACCATCTGCTTACGTTCTGAAAGATAAAATTTTAACAGCTCCGTCTTTGATTTTGTAAATTTTTGCAACAATATTGTATCATTGACACAATCAGACTCCTTAAAATCACAGAATATTGCCGCTACAACTCCATTAATTTTAGAGTAAGCACGTTCAAGATAAGGCAATATCATAATAATAAAACAAAGAAGGGCATAGATGGCGATTAAGTCCTGATAATTGATATAGGCAACTAACAATGCATTTGTAATTTTTGATGGATTTTCTTCAAAAACTTCGTAATGCGCATGCGCCGGACTGCCGCTAATCATCGCAGAGCTGTGCCATTTTTAATTAGATCGGCAAGGTGGTGTATCGTTACAGTGGTGGGGAGTTCAGTGGATACACATAATTGCTATTACGATTTTAATTTTTTTCTGATAAGGTTCTATTAATATTTTTGGACTAAAGGTACGCATGAGGTGTTCTATATTTCTTGTAGCATTTGGATTGCTCTGCTCTCTGCAGGCAGAGCTTTAAGTTCACATGGTAAATTGTTGCTTTAGTGTTATGTTGGTTTCATCAAGTTATGAATTATATGTGTCCTATCCGAAAACATTGTTTGCAGATGATTTTCTTTATATATTTATATATTTGAATGATGCCAATATGACACAAGGTGCAATGTTTGGCAAACCTACTACAGCTCGTTAACTTCTAGAATCCTCATTACTTATAACTCACAATTATTAAATTATAATGTTCCTGCATTTGATTTAAAAACGATAGAACTAGTATTATCTAAGTAACACATTCTCTATATTAACTTCCGAACTTCCAAAAGATTTATAACGCAAAATTAGCAACCCACATCCATCCGTTCCAAAGTTTGACAACGTGGAAAAAACTTCCCGTTTGTATGCGAGAGCCCTTAGTCTGATCCCAAAACTTTGTAAAATTGGTTGGCGATTCAGTTCAGTGGAGGAAGAAGTGAAAATGTCAAGGGTAGTGGAAGTGGAAAAGGAAATGTAGACACTTCCGGATTTGAATTTATTTCTTGCCGGCGAAATTAAAAAGAGATTTCGGTTTAAGTTATAGTATAGTAATAAAGAATTTGAATGTACTTCTAATTTTAAAGCACCCAGAATATTAAAAAAGTTAGATTAGAAATATGTTTTAAGTATAAAAGATTGTCCATATTAACCAATACTAGCAGATCCTTCAGTAAGGGTAAAATGCATATATGACCATTTATAAGCAAGTACTGTGTTGACCAAGTCTCAATAATTAAATAGTTGGGTAATTGTGAAACGTTTTGTTGTAATATTTTCCAAAACTAGAAACCGCTACTTCATTATTTTATTAATTGCCATATTTTTCTATGTAATATTCGGTTTTCTTGAATAAGATCATTTAAAATATTGACTTACCTTCTGTAGGGTCAAGTCTCTTAGCCCTTCTACCGTGTTTCGAGTTGTTATGTACAAACATGTTGTCGGAAACTGCTAAAAGTGGTCCATCTACTGCAACCTGAGTTGATATTACTACCTGAAAAGAAAAAATAGATTGAATAGATAATTATTGTACTGAGCAGAACAAAAGATAGATATAATCAAATTTGACACGACAAACCATTAATAAATCAAAAACACTTTTAACAAATTGCGTAATATTTTTAAACTGACGGTTTTCACCAGCTTCATCAAGTCCCGAATATCCCCTTGTTCTTTGGAAACCCTTGCAACCCATGTACATACAAACTTTGTTATAATGTTCGGAGTTCCGACATCTACTGAAAATTACTCTGAATCGTCTACAAGACGAAAGGAATGTACAGGGACGGATTATACAATTGGAATATATCTACGTAAAATATAATACTGGTAGATCTTGAAATAGTATATAACCATTAGGATTAGTTCTTAAAATTTGGTATATTACGGGGTACCTATACCTGGAGGCATCTGCGTTATACTACAGATCCAAGATTTGTGGTAGCCTTTGAAGGACTGAACCGGGATCCTTGAAAGTTCATACCCTCTTTTTGAGTGAACTACTACAGTACTGGCAGTGATCGTACTATTTAAGGATATCGCTGAACCTAGTTCTACACCGACAACAGCTATTTTGAACCATATCTAACTATACAGCTAATTATCCATTGGTGATGAATGTTTCCTTTAAAAAAAAGTAACAAGGATAAACCTTGCAATATTTTCGCTAGTGATGGTATCTGTATCTGTAACGTGTGGAGGGAGGGTGGGTTACCCCCCACGTCACTTAGGCCTTAATAGGCCCATTGTACATCCTCCTGAGATGATAGCCTACAGATTTAATGTAGTTAACAATATCGTCAAGAGGTGCTTCTTTTATATCGGCCGGTGTTAGCCGACACTCGCCGAACACAAATCTTCCAATAAATGAGAGCGTCTCATTTTCTTTTTCCCATCCCCTGAAGAGTGCGGATTCTGACAGCCCCATGATAAGAAGATGCTTTCGTACTTGGCAATGACCAGTCAGAATGCCTGTGACTAGGCGCAGATTCTGTCTAGTCATAGTGAAGTATTTGTTTGCTGCAGTGTTGTCAGGATAACTTAAGAGCTCCCTGGCAACTCTGCAGTCTCTTGTTTCATCCCATCTTTTCTTGAATTTCACAAGGAAATATTTTTTGATTAGGTCTGTCACTACCGATTTTGTCAGGCCAATAGAAGGGCCAGGTCCAAAAAGTATTTGGTTGGCTGCTTTCTTGGCTAGTGAATCAGCAAGATGGTTACCTTTCGATGTGGCGTGACCTTTGATCCATCTTAAGGTGACCACATTGTTGATTGATACTTCGGCCAAAGTTTCATGTGATATTCTAGTACTTCGTGCTCTGTTCAGGGTGAGTAGTGCTTGTCTGCTATCTGTGTAGATGAGTATGTTTCTTTCAGTGATATTGAACCTTTTAATTTACATTCAATCGAAAATAGTCTTACCAAATTTCAACATTGGCCGAAAATATATACGGACGTAAAATTAAATATTAAAAAAAAAAATCCTACAACTAGTCAAATAGAAATTTAGAACTGAAATTTAGCAGAGGCTTTTTTTGTAGTTCTTGGGATGTTAGGTGTTTGTAGACACTGAAACTTATTTGTGTGTGTGTGGTTATAGCTTTCGGCACTGATCAGTGCCTTCTTCAGTAGTTTTTTTTTTTGGGTAAAATATTTAATTTTTTTTTGTTACTAACACCTTGTTTTTTTTTAATAATGAGTTTACATCCGAAATTCTTTGGTACAGAACTTGGAGTGTGTCATTACCATTGTTAAAATAAATTAAACTTTTTTTTATATTATTTTGTTTCCTATAAACCTTGTCATATCCGTTGAAAGTGTTCTTTAAGTCCGTTTTAGTTTTTAAATAACATTTATTTTAACAATGTTAATGACACATCGGAAGTTCTGTACCAAAGAATTTCGGATGTAAACTCATTATTAAAAAAAAACAAGGTTTTAATGACAAAAAAAAAAAAAATATTTTACCAATAAAAAACTACTGTAGAAGGCACTGATCAGTGCCGAAAGATATAACCATAGATACGAGTTTCATTGTCTACAAACACCTAAAAACCCAAAAACTACAAGAAAAAAACTATAAATTAAGGTGTAAGAATTTTAGAAAAGAAAGCAGTGACTTCCTTTGAAAAGTACCAATATTTAGCAGAGGTGTGTTCACCTTTTTATTAGTGAGGGCTGGGAGCATGGGTTTTGAAAATACTATTTTTGATACGATTTCCATGGTCTTATTTTACTATAATTAAAATACAGATAAGCAAATCGTTTAAAATCGTATTAAGAATAAAGTATTTTTAAAACCCATGCTCCCAACCCTCACTAATAAAAAGGTGAACGCCTCTGGTGAATTTCAGCTCTTAATTTCTATTTGACTAGTTGCAGGATTTTTTTTAAATATTTCATTTTATATCCGTCATAAGAGCTACCCTGTATACATTTTCGGCTAATGTTGAAATTTGGTAAGACCATTTTCGCCTGAATGTAGACGCCCAAACACTGTAAATTAAAACGTTCAATTTATTCTATTTTAAACCAAATGATATAAAACTTTTAAGTTCTTCAAGATTTTTTTTTTTAATAATGATACTGGATAAAAACAAAAGGCCAGACTATTGTAGTAATCCATAATTCTTTGTTTTATTTATTATTGTTACATATTACATTATTATTATTATTATTATTATAATATTTTAACTTACAGCTATCAAAATACCTGAGTTTGTAATACTTACAATCTTGTATTAGTTTTTTAAACAAATTCATACAATATTTTATAAACTTTAACATCGTTTAATGAAAGCAAAACATCAATGTTTATTGGTAGAGGTCGGTGGTGTAGCGGTCTTACGCGCTTATATTCATTTATAGGTCAGAGACAGACGAGTTTCGAATCCTACACCAGACGACCATGTGGATTTTTAAATAAATTGCATGGTTCGGTATAGGATTTGATGTGTGCCGTTTTAATAGAAATTCAATTTCTGTTGATATGACATGCAGATTATAAAATCGCCATGCATTATCGTCTCGATGAATGGTGGGTGAGTTTTCCTCACCCATAAGTCAAATGGCACCATCAATCAACTTTAAGTCGCCCCGGAGCGCCACGGCAAATAATAATATCCGTCCCTTTCCCCGCACAAGCTCAGCTTTTGGGGTTAAAATTCACTCGTAAGGGGGTGAATTAGGGAGAGTATTATTATTATACCAATATTAACTAATTCCGAGTATATTGTGTCAGTATCTAAAATTGTATGATTGAGATCAGCAATTTCATCACAAATTAAGCATAAATTATTATCTGAAAGACCAAATTTTTCCTTGTAGGCAGGATACATAGCATGATTACTTATCATACAGCTAACAACTCGGATAAAAGACCTATTTTTTTCGTTTTTAAATCAGGGACAATTTAGAAAATTAGGTTGACTGTTTTTGTATTTCTTTCCTTTTTCTTCTTTTGAATATGCATCTTGCCAACTATTAAACATTGATAATTTAGATCTAGCAATAAAATCTGATTTTGGAGTTTTAATATTTGTATTAGTTCCCGAAACAGTAGCCTTTTTTTGTTAGGAAATCAACTTTCTCATTATTAGCAATACCTACATGAGATTTTACCCACGCCAAGGAAGTTTACTTATTTTGTTCCAAACATTAAGAATTTCTAAGGCTATATAGTTGGTAAGACTGGTAATGTTTCTTGAAGACATATGTTAAAAGCTTCTTTCATATCAACAAGTTCAGCATTGTATATTGACATTGTACTGGGAAGTTTAAATGAAATTTTTAATAGGATACAAAATTGCACAATCTAATTGGAAATTCGGAGTTGATAGTTTGCTAAGGTTGGAAGTTGGGACCGAAAAACTGGTTTTTCTATTACCCCTTTGAACTGCTTTATGTCCCTTATATGTCCCTTATTTCAAAGATCCGGACAGCAAACTGACCATAATTTTCATTGTTCTATCACCTCCTTAAATATTTGTTTCCCTTTTTGATTCACCTTGTATATTTGTGATTTTTTATAGAATAACCATTTAAATGAAAATATAATATTGTGTTATATATTTTTCATGGAGGTAAAATATATTTTTATAAACTGTAAACATCTCCTAGAGATATGCAACCAAGTTTTCATAGTGATGTATTTCTGGTCACATATATAATAGTAAGCATAAAAAAGTGTAGATACTCTATATAGAAATATTTGAATACCCACAATCAATCGTAAAATGAACTCAATCCGTGCCTGCGAAGGTCTGTATCGTCTGATGCCGAGCAGATATTTATTTCAATTTCCATACACCTGGATTTATCAGAGAAACGAGAGCAGCAGAAAGATTTTTATTTTCCTTCCGAATCATACGAGGCATAAGATAAAGGACGTACATAAGAAGTAAAAAGGAATAACAACGGCGAATAGGGTCGCATCTATTTCTGCTCTGATCTCATTCCGTACGTAAATGTGAGCAATTTTACAAACGTGAATTATTTAGGAGTAGTTCGTGGAGGGTGTAGAGGGTTGTAAGTTTTAGAGTGAGATGGAATATTTCGGTATAGGGAGAATGTCTATGGTAAATATATACAATATTGACATCAAGGGCCAGTTTTTCAATGAAGGTTTAAACTGAGTTCAGCAAATAAACTGAGTTTAATTAAACGATGATGTATTTCAAATGCAGTTCACGTCTGAACTTAATTTAAACTATCCGAAAAATTGAACTGTCAAAGTTGGGCGTTTAAACTAAGATCAATGTTTTGACACTGACATAATATAAGCATATTTTATAATTTTTGTACATTTTATGTTTGAAGTAATAAGTGAAGACGATGTTGAAATTGTTACGTGTTTAATGCATATTACAGTTCATCAAATTTCTAGAGGTGTTCGACGCCCAGACAGAGAACGCGCTACGTGTGACTAAGATAGCTATTGTACAGTCTGCTAAACAAGTTATTTTAAATAGTTTTTAATATTTTTAGGTAATTAAA